CTGTTTGTAACATAATTTATCATTGGTCATTCTTTTTGTAAATTAAAATTCTACAGAAAAACTAATGTTGATATGAATATTTAGGCTTTTATTAATTGTTCTCTCATTATGTTTTAAAATATAAGATTTTTTTTTTCAAAAGCGCAAGTCTAATGAAGTTATTTTTATTTAATAAGATCATTGAAAATACAAATCTAGAACAACCTAACCAATTATAAAACATTTTTAAAATTTTAATTGGTAAAAGAACATTCATTAGCGAAAAATTACATCCAAAATGTGAATATCTTATATTTTGAAACATCAAATATTACTTAAAAATCTTTCTTTTTCTTCTGAAATGATGGGATTATCATTTGTGGTAGAGGTGGATAACAATGAATAATATTTTTTCCAATTTTTTTTTTATTTCTTTGCAGACCCATATAAAGAACTTTTAATCCCAAATTTTAAATAAGCGGAGGCCAAACACGATTAAGTTTTTTTAACTAGCCAGCACAAAACATCCCTAAAAACATGACTAAATCAAACTACCTTTGAATCTCTTTTTCCCAAAGAATAGAAACTACTAAAATGCCAAGCTGTTCTAGAATTGAATTTGGCAATTATGTTTTGTTGTGTGAGGTACCTTTGGAACCAAGGCTTATAATTCAAGGGAAAACAGAAAAGATTAATTAGAAAACCCAATCTAGGGAAGTCTCAATATTAAAAAAAATCCTATCTTACAACTTTTTTCAAGATACAAAGAATATATATTTCCTCTATTATTCTTCTTTGACGGTGTGAGATGTTTCACAACAACTAATACATGAAAGGATTTCATGAAAACATATATTCAAGATTCGGTTAGTTACAATTAATGCATGCAACGTATAAGTAAATTAAAAACGATATATAGATGTTACTTTTAGGGCAAACTGAAATAAATAAATGAATTATGGTGTGTAAAACAACTGTAAAGCTTACTTTTATTAATTAAAATTATCACCAGCATAACACTCAAAGGCTGTCAATTACTGTATATATATACATACTTATATATTTTGGTAATAGAAGACAAAAATAATTAAAATAAGAAAGTTAAAAGAATAATTATAGAGAATGGAACTTAAGAAATTTTTTATGGCTTTTTCATAACTACCACTGCGGTGACATTTGTGTATCCAAGTTTTGGCCAAAAGAATATTGACGATGAACCACTGGTTAATCCTGGTCGTGATATGGATGCAGTGAAGGCAATCTCTCCTGCTTCACAGGATTACAATTTGGATTTGCTCGAGAACCTCCCAACAAAATACAAGATGTATATCGGAACCTGCATGAATACGATGGAGAGTGATTTTAGGAATTGTAATGCAGATGTCATTGAAGAGATTCTTACGAAGAAACCTGTTTCCAGAGAGTGTTGTATGAAGGTAGTAAAAGCTGGAAAAAAAATGCTACATGGAGATTAGAAAGGTGATGTTTCAATTTTATCAACTCAAACGCTTCGCTTCTCAAGTTTCTTTCAGAACTAACGAGGTTTGGGATAGATGTTCTACTGAAGTTGAAAGCCCTTCATCATCTCACTATTAATTATTTTCTAATTGTTGTATTATTATAAAATATTGGTTTATAACTTGATGTATTATAAAATAATGCTTTGTTATTCTATTTTAACTATATATAATAAAATAAAAATTACATGAGCTCATTTGCATTCCTAACTCTAATACAGTATCTTTAGGTTTCCAAGGTAGTGATTGTTGGTTTAGTATTTTAGTCTATCAAATATTAATTCTAACTGCATATGAATCTTGTTAAACAAAATAATATATTTATATTCTTGAAATTCAAATTAATAATGTTGTTTAGAAATTTAGTATTTTATTAAAAAAATTATAAAAAGCGAGAGAACAACGTAAAAGAAAAAAAATAGGTTACACGTATTTTGATGATCATAGCTAATGATACAATATGCAAATTTTTAATAACGATTTGATAATTAATTATACAAAGCTCTTTACAATATTTTTCCACAAAAAATGTTGTTTCTTTGTTATTTTTAGACCGTATGCGATGAGATTATCACTAGTTTACGCTATTATATGATGTGGATGTGGTCTATCATAATTATATCAACATAGGCTTATACATATTATCATTCTCATAACAACAATTTCACTTGAGATTTAATGCATTTTCGTGAAACATTAAGAAAGAGAAGAAAATTAAGAAATTTGTTTGAAACTTGTTAAAGTGAAATTCTCCATCTGTTTGTAATATAATTTATCATTGATCATTCTTTTTTTAAATTAAAATGCTAAAGAAAAAATAATGTTGATCTTAATATTTAGGCTTTTATTAATTGTTCTCTCACTATGTTTTTAAATATAAGATATTTTTTTTCAAAAGCGCAAGTTTAATGAAATTATTTTTATTTAATAATATCATTGAAAATACAAATCTAGAGCAAATTAACCAATTATAAAACATTTTTTAATTTTAATTGGTAAAAGAAATTCCAGTAGCGAAAAATTACATCCAAAAATGTGAATATCTTATATTTTGAAACATCAAATATTACTTAAAAATCTTTCTTTTTTTTTCTGAAATGATGGGATTATAATTTGTGGTAGAGGTGGATAACAATGAATAATCGTTTTCCCAATTTTTTTTATTTCTTTGCAGACCCATATAAAGAACTTTTAATCCCAAATTTTAAATAAGAGGAGGCCAAACATGATTAAGTTTTTTAACTAGCCAGCAAAAAAATATCCCTAAAAAACATGACTAAAATAAACTACCTTTGAATCTCTTTCTCCCAAAGAGTAGAAACTACTAAAATGCCAAGCTGTTCTAGAATTGAATTTGGCAATTATGTTTTGTTGTGTGAGGAAAGAGGCTGAAGTACCTTTGGAACCTAGGCTTATAATCCAAGGAAAAACAGAAAAGATTAATTAGAAAATCCAATCTAGGGAAGTCTCAATATTAAAAAATCCTATCTTAAAACTTTTTCCAAGACACAAAAAATATATATTTCCTCTATTGTTCTTCTTTGACGGTGTGAGATGTTTCACAACAATTAATACATGAAAGGATTTCATGAAAACATATATTCAAGATTCGGTTAGTTAATTTTTTTTATCTTATTATTTAGTATTTTTTTACTATTGTATGTGGCACAAACTCAAGTTCTTAAGTTGTATATCATTTCATCTTAGTGAAGTAACTAGATTTTTGATCCGTGCTGTTTAAGTGCGAGTATTATTTTGTTGTTGTTTTATCTACAAATGGATCAATAAATCTTTTGTTTTGATGACATAAAATGTCACATGATAGAGACCAAGTTTCAATTATGTAAGTGTGAAGAGATGTTTATTTTACAATGTCTCAAAAAACCGTTTTATGTTTATAAATAAGTTACACAACTATTATATCTGAGATTTGTACTTGAGTAAGATTGTATATTTAACAATTATATTTTCTATTAAATATTTCTAAACATATAAAATGGCTCAATTTTTTTTTAATTTTTTGATTAATTCGTAAAATTATTTAGTTACCGAATTTCAATATTTAATATAAATTTTTAAAATTAATGTAGATTTTAACTTTCAGGAAACATTATTCGGTGTCAATATTCTCAATTACACTTTTTTAAGATAACTTTTCCACCAAGAGATTGTGTTGAATCATGTAAATATATTATATGTAATCGTGTAGTTTTATTTTGGAAAAATAGTATCAATACAGTTAATTAATGTACGCTCTTTAAAAGTTTTTTTGTAAGAAACTTCAATAATAATTAGAAGGAGAGTTTAGCCCATTAATTTATCCCATTGAATGGATATTGATATGTATTTAAGTATATAGTTTTTAGGCCTAAAAACCGAAAGACTATAATACCATTAATGAAAATTTTAATTTATTCATAAAAGTAAAGATAATTTTGATGAACTTAAATATTTCATTAAGGAGAATGATCCTTTTAAATGGTATTGATGAGACTACTAGCACACTTTGATAATCGAATTGAAAATAGATTGAATACAAGTTGAAAGCAACACCAAGATTCCAGTGCTGGCCCTTGGACCACGCAAATGAAGCGGCTGCTTCCGGCCGTTTCGTTTATAGTTAGATTTCGGCCACAAAACATCAATATCTCCTTTAGTCTAGTGGTATAGTGTGTGTGTCTTTAATCAATCCAACCCAGTTTCGAAGCTCAGCCTCTCCATATCACTAAATAAATTTTTTTCCTATCTATTTTTCTATAAAAAGTGGCTATTTTTAAAATTTTTGCTTCCAGCCATAGAATTTCTAGGGCCGGCTCTGCTAGATTCTCTTAACACACATGGAAACAAAACATGGTCCTTTATCTATACAATGTCAATAATCGCAAATGTACTTCTCATGACTCGCAATAATATATAATTCAATAGTTTATCATATATATTTATTGATTTGTATGAAATAAGTGAAGTCTAAATTTTTTGCGTCAAGGCCAATTGAATATATGTAAATTAAACTATTAATGTGGGGCATCTTCTTTGACCATCTTATGCAATCACTTCAAAAACACGTGACCATCACAACTACAATATTAGTTGTTTCTTCGTCGTAATAGATAAATTACGATGAAGAAGTGACAAAAAAACGTTTTATAGTTAAGAGCTCGTCGTAATAGACAAATAGTCATAAAATTATCGTAAAAAAAATTACGACGACCAAGTTTAATCGCATTGTAATCGTAAAGAAGACATAATGTTATGTCCTTCTTTTGTAGTCGTACTCGGGTCGTAAGCTTCCGTCGCTAAGAAGTTGTAAGGTTAAGTCGTAAATAACTGGTTTTAAATCTTACGGCATTTTAACATCGACCCATGATGTAAACGAGTTGTAAAAATTACGACCACTTTATATCGAAAGTTGATGTTAATTGATAGTATATTTTACGACTCATTTACGTCGAATATTATATATTATAGGGAATATAAATTTTAATTTTTATATTAAATTTATCAAATGAAAAATTTTAAAAATTTCTTGAATTTTGAAAATTTTAAAGAAAAATCTAATATACCTAAAATATAATCTAATATATTCAAAATTTGACAAAACACAAAACAATTAAAAAAAAAACTAATTATTATGGTTTTTGTCGTCGAAGAGCTAGGAACTATGATATTCGGACTGTCGTTTTATATCCACCAGCTCTTCTGAAGTTGGATTGCAGTTAATGGTGAAACGTAGAGTCCGCCACATCAATGTAAGAGCCGGGTTTGTCTCTCTAATAACATTGATCTCTGTCATGGTCCTAATCTGGCTCATGTTCTCCGCACACTTTTACCAAAGATGAGAATCTTCATTTCTTTTGCGGTGTATTCAGTTCTCGCCCTCGGAACATCATTCACCGTACCAAGTCCCACCATCCGTCTCTTTTTCTTCGGGACAATAATGAAATAAATATATATTAGTATATATAAATAAATCTAAAAGATTAAAATATATATATATATTTACCTGCTCAAAGATTTTGTCCTATTCGATGGTGAAAACTGAACCAGCTCACTTTCTGGATTTTGTTGCGACAACTGGCCTAGACCTGAGCCTCCATGTCGTTGTAGATATTTTCAACTTGAGGTTCCACAAACGTCACATCAAAATGCTGATGTCGTCTTGTAAATATCGGAAAAAGATGGGGGTGCTCCTTCCCGACGGCCTTAAAACAAATTAAATATTCATGTATTCAATAAACAATTCACTGATAATTTAAAAAAATTTAAAAAAGATCAATACTTACAATTTCGAGGACCCTTCCGGCGTGTCGGGTCTGTCCGGAAGTATGGGCATTGGAGCATTGCCTTCAGCATCAGTCGTTAACCGGGCCGTGGAGCAACTGTAAGACGTTTGAACTAACCAAGGCAACATCCAATAAGCATTCAATCCCGTCCAAACGTGAACGCTGGGGTAGATGGATTTTGCGTCATCCCCTATAACCCTCCACCCCTCCTTCCAATCAGCAACAATGTTCTTCAGGCGCAACATCGCCTAGTTGTTGAACCCGGCCTTCACCTTCTCGTTGACAGCGATAGACCAATTCCATTATGATATCTGTAACGCTCCGGATTGTCCATTGCAAACCTACAAAATTTTACAAGATATATTACACCGAAATATAAATAGTACTAAAAACAGTTTAAATATTAATAAAAAAAAATATATTAAAAATTGCCAAAAAAAAGTATTGGGCGGTCAATCTGGGTCAACGATTCCTAAACCTTCTTGTTCAGGCATCTAGAGGAGATTTCCACCGTAAATCTAGCATACGGTGCATCCGGTGGAACCATCAAATCCAGATGGATAGCTGCAGTATCCGGAGCAGGTGCAGGACCTGGAGCAGCTGCAGGAGCCGAAGAATGTTCTGGAACTTGGGCCTCATCGCCAAAAGCAGGGCCATGCTGCTGAGGATCGTATG